TTAAAAATACAGTAAAAACAGTAATATTGTGAAATATTATTACAATTTTAAATAACTGTTTTCTATTTGAATATATTGTAAAATCTAATTTATTCTTTTGATGACAAAGGTGAATTTTCAGCAGCCATTATATAGTCTTCAGTATCACATGATCTTTCAGAAATCCAATCTTTCTGATATGCTGATTTGGTACTTAAGAAACAATTCTTGAAATGTTGAAAATGGTTGTGTTGCTTAATATTTTTGACAATTTGTAACACTTTTTTTCAGTGGAAAGCATTATTTGAAATAGAAATCGTTTGCAACATTATATAAGTCTTTACTGTAACTTGTGATCAATTTAATCTCGATGAATAAAAGTGTTCATTTCTTTTAAACAAAACAAAACAAAACAAAACAAAAACTCACAGAGCCCAAACCTTTGAATGGCAAATGTACTAAAAGCTAAAAAAAATGTAATAAGCTTTTTGGAGTACACTAGCATAATGGACAATGACTAAAAGCCACAGAGCATTTAGTCATTGTCAGAGAATTTTGATTTCACAAGGTCTTTAAAAAAGCAACATGGGTAGAAAGGGGAAGTTGAAATAGGGAAGTCTTTTCATTTCTTTGTATTTCTTCCCCATGGAATTAAATCCCAGGTGCCATCACTACGCTATAGAGACTGAACCATGCAGCAGGCTAGAAACACACATACATGTACACACAAGTAAATGTAAGCATGCAGTTTCTATAGACCACACCTTATGCTCGCAGCATGCAAAGAGAAAAATATGACTCAAGAGATCCTCATAGACAAAGGTTCATTCAGGATCCACATGCAGAGAACTTGCAGCCACATGCAAAGTGCTGCACCAGCAAGCAAGTTAATCAAAGCAAAACACCTGAGGGCTGAAGAAAAAAATACAGGCAGGAGGCAAGCATCCACATTTCAGGCAGTGAGCGTCTACATTGTTTATTGACAAAACGATGGCATGATCATGGCTATTAGGTGATGTTTCAGAGGCAGTCGAGAGTAAGTTTAGGGCAAAAGACTAAAAAATTCACATGCATATGCACAGAAGCAGTTAAGCCACATGCTTTCACAGTCGAGTAGGAAGTGTAAACACACCTGTGACAATGACCTCAACGGACGCAGAGCCTGTCCCAATGCTGTTGCTGGCGTCACAGATGTATGTGCCTGCGATGTCATAGGTTACAGGACCTTTAAAGATCAGCACATCGTCACCAAGCTCTGCTGTACTCGGCATAGTTCCATTCAAGCTAGAGAGAGAAAGGCTCATCAGGTCATGCACGAGAATTCACTTAAAGGAGACATATTATGCCCCTTTTTACAATATGTAATATAAGTCTCTGGTGTCCCCAGAATGTGTCTCTGAAGTTTCAGCTCAAAATACTCCACAGATCATTTATTATATCATTTTGAAAATGCCTATTTTGAGTGGAAGCAGAAACACGCTGTTTTTCGGGCCTGTCTCTTCAAATGCAAATGAGCTGCTGCTCCCCGCCCCCTTTTCCATCCAGAATAGAGCTGCGCCATTAATCAGAACCAAAACTGCGCCATCTATTTTGGTTCTGATTATCATGTTTATCGCGCTGAAATCATGCGTTTTAAACCATACGAGTATCACAAGGGGAGCGAAATCTGACGCGCTCGTTTTCTCAGACGCTTGTAGAAAAAGGCTTACCGAAAAACAAAGTTACTGTGTTAATCTTTTTCACGTTTCCTTGGTTGGTAGATGCACCAGGGACCTGATTATAGCACTTAAAACCTGGAAAAGTCAGATTTTCATGATATGTCACCTTTAAATTAAAACTGAAAGAACTGTGACTGAAAGAAGCGTAAATGTTTTTAATATGATAGATGAGTGTTCTGGAATTAATATTGAAAAGTGAAATTACATTTGTATCAGACTCTAATTTTTCATGGAAAATTATTTTGGCTTGACCCTCAATAACTGTGTTTATAGTAATTCACTTACAATGAAAGTCTATGGGCCAAAGCATTGTACCAGGGTAAATGTTACAAAAACACACATGTATAGCCAGAAAGTATAGCCATTAGACTTGAAGAATCAAGATAAGCAGATCTAACAAAAATATGAGATGCCAATGCCTTGCCCCATGGACCTCCATTTTAAGCGCATTGCAAACAGAGCTGAAATTAATTTCTGTGGCAATCAACACATTTCTTTGGCGTTGATATAATATATAATATTCAGTAGTTTAGGCTATGGTATATTTTGATATCATCATCCATTTCAAAGTATTTTAACTGAGCATAAATAAATTTGTGCAGAATTGACTAAAATGACATACTATCTCCACTGAAACAATGAGATGGGTGGATTGGCATCAGCCAAGCAGGTGAGTTGAACGTTTTCTCTGTTCAAATACCAGTTCCCATCGAAGCCTTCTATTATTACCTCTGGTTCATCTGTAAACAAGGAGAAAAGAGAGCACAAATTTATTCCAGAACTTTTCATTTTTTTATTTCCTTCAATGGACATTTAATAAAATTGACTTTAACAATAATGAATATTTAGAATAAAATTATTTTAATACATAACCCATGAGGATATATTTAAAAATACATTTTAAACTAAAAGTTAAACTGCAATTACTATTAAGCTAAAATCAAAAAAACATTATAGTATAATAAGTAGTACTGTTTTATTAAGTACTACTATTGAAATTAAATAATGAAATAAATTAAATAATTAACAAATAAAATAAAATTTAAAGCGACTTGTAATAAATAAAAAATATGCTGGATCAAAAGTGTGGGGTTAGTAAGATTTCTAAATGTATTGAAAGAAGTCTCTTATTATTACAATTTAAAGTAACTGTTTTCTATTTAAATTCATTTTAAAATGTAATTGATTCCTGTGACGACAAAGCTGAATTTTCAGCTGCCACTTCAGTCTTCAGTGTCACATGACCCTTCAGAAATCATTCTAATATGCTGATTTGATGCTCAAGAAAAATTTCTTATTATTATCAATGTTGAAATCAGTTGTGCTGCTTAATATTTTTATGGAACCCGAGAGACTTTTTTCATAATTTTTTTTATGAATAGAAAGTTCAAAAGAACAGCATTTATTTGAAATAGAATTTATTTGGAACAATCTAAATGTCTTTTTTTTCACTTTTGATTAATTTAATGCATCCCTGCTGAAGAAGTATTATTTTTTAATCTTACTGACCCCAAACTTTTGAACAGTAGTATAGCTGGTTTCTTACACTGAATGTTGAGCGTTACACTGTCTGTGTATTGTTCGTCATTATATGTGGAGACGCAGGTGAGCAGCTGTTGGTGTATTTCTCGACTAGGAACCACCAAGTAATCACTGCGCACTGTGACAGTCCCATCAGGGTTGCGTATCTCCTGGGTGTTGGATTCTCCATTTAAATCAGTTTCCCATGTGATCACACTGGGTGGCTTCCCATTGGCAGAAACACACGTGGCAACAGTCATCTTCAGATCTTTGGTTCCCGCCACTACGGAGGGTGTGGAAAGACTCATCTGGATCATAGGGCGAGCTGCAGGACAAATACATAGGCTTAGAACACTGGGATATTTCATGCACTGCAGGCAACCACCGGATTACTGTAATATTCTGTGCCACGCTCAGTTTTGCAAGCTTTTCAGCTTATAGGTGATTTTTTTTCATTAAGAACTGCAAAGCGCTATATAATAACCAGGTTTCATGGAAAACATTTTGAAAAGACAAAGGCCTCTCAACTTGGAAAATTATGCAATATACACAGAAATTATTCTTCTGTGAAATCAAAAGTTTTACTAATTTTATAACCAAAAAATAAATCTTAGTTTATGTGATGTTAGCGCTATAAAAAATCTAGCAAAATCCACTACAGCAATCTTGGCTCCAAAGGCCCGTTTCACACCACAGCGGCTAACCATAAGCAAGCACTCAAAGTTACAGTAAATGCTTTTACGCTGCTCAGGTACTGAGAGTAATCTGATGATGGTGAGTTTTCAATTAATCACTAAAGCTTAATCACCAAGGCTTTACTGGTTTTATGTAAGCAAGATATCTCTTAAACTGTCCAAATCTGAATCTTGTAAGGACCTTGAACTTACTCAATGTTAAAGGAATAGTTTACCCAGAAATGAAAATTGGCTGACATTTTGCTCACCCTCAGGCCGTCCAAGATGTAAATGAGTTTGTTTCTTCATCAGAACAGATTTGGAAAAATTGGAGCTTTATATCCTGCTCACCAATGGATCATTTGCAGTGAATGGGTGCCGTCAGAATGAGAGTCCAATCAGCTGATAAAAACATCACAATAATCCACAAGTAATTCACACGTCTCCAATTGTTAATTGATTGAATGTGGATTATTGTTATGCTTTATCAACTGTTGGCACCATTCCCTTTTCGTCTGTTCCAATGAAGAAACAAACATCCTGGATGACCTGAGGATGAGTACATTTTCAGCACATTTTCATTTTTGGGTGAACTATACCTTTAAATGTTTACTCATCCACTGAAATTAAAGTTATTCACCTCTTAAATCTCATCTGAAGTCATATTTTTAAATGCATTGTTCGTGGTATTGGTGGTCAGCTTTACAGTTGGTATTAGGAGAACAGCAGCATTACATACCATAAACAGTGAGATTAACCATGTTCTCCCTGTTGCCAGCTGGGAAGGTTGTGTACTCGCAGATGTAGGTGGATTCATCCGACAGTTTTAGTTTGTTGAAGACTATGGTGGTGTCCTCCAGGGAAGGTGTGCGCTGGCGGACGGCGGGGTTCTTGAAGCGCACACGCTCTTTGAAGGGGCTCAGTACTGACACCCCTAGGGCTGGATTGGCGATGGCCACGTTCTGCTTAGTGCCATTGACCAGCTTCTGCCAGGTGACCTGCGAGATTTTTACAGGTGGGTTGCTGTTGACAAACTGACAGCGTAGCTCTACCTGTGAGCCCACAAATCCTGACTTACTGCTGTCCATCTGAACCATCTGACCATGAACACCTGGAAATAAAAAGATTAACAGTTATTTCTCACAACGTGGATGAACTGTAAAGATGTCTAGTGTCAAAACAAAAACAAACAACAGAACAATTGTTTTTTCATATTTGGTAACACTTCACTTAAAGCCTTTATGTATAATACATTATAAAGGGTTATTAGAGACTATAATGCATTATAATTATTCATAATGTACATTGTAATACATGATATCTTGTCGTAAATAATTATAACTGAATTTAAAATGCATAGTGTAACAATGAATTGATAAGTGTTATAATGCATTAATTGTGGTTACAATTATTCATTAGATTGTACAATGCATTACAAGGCATAATTATTGCATTAAAACTACTTTTATTATAAAGGCTTTAAGTAAAGTGTTACCTCATATTTTTATGAAAACATAAACATTTACTGGCTATACAGAATTTAATTTAAATTCCCATTCAATTCCTGAAATGGATTTGAAATGAGGTAGGACCTCAACCAGGAGGATTTGATTTGAATTGACAATTAAAAGAAGTTTAAGAATGGGATGATCAAAAGTGACAGCAAAAACTTTTACAATGTAAAGAAATATATATATTTCAAATAAATGCCATTCTTTTGTACTTTTTTATTTATTCAGAATCCAAAAATGTGTCACAGTTTCCTCAAAAATATTAAGGAGCACTGTTTTCGACACAGCAAGTTTTAAATTAAGCAAAACTGTTTAACATAAATTCATGTAATAATAATAAAAAAAATTAAAATCTTGAGCACCAAATCAGCATTTCTAAAGGATCATGTGACAATGAAGACTGTAGCAATGACTGCTCAAAATGTTGCTTAATAAAAATATTTAAACTAAAAACTGTTTTAAATTGTAATACTATGTCACAATATTACTATTTTTACAGCATTTTGGATCAATTAAACGCAGCCTTGGTGACTGTAAGAGACTTCCTTCAAATATATATATATATATATATACAGTGGTGTGAAAAAGTGTTGGCCCCCCGTTTTGTAAATTTTTTGCATATGTCACACTTAAAAGATTCAGATCATCAAACAAATTTTAATATTACACAAAGATAATGCAAGTAAATACAAAATGCAGTTTTTAAATGATTATTTATTTTATTAAGGGAAAAAAGCTGTCCAAACCTGCCTGGCCCTACGTGAAAAAGTAATTGCCCCCTAAATCTAATAACTGGTTGTGCCACGCAA